CGCATCATGCGAGCCATGCAGAGATAATGATAGACAAATTGAATATGTGGGTGGCATATATATATATATATATATATAAGTATATACAATTATGGCGTATGGCAGCTGCTGCCTAAAACTTTTATGCGCGCGTGCTTTAACATGATTAAACGGACAGCACATATGTTCAACGAAAACAATAGTCGTAGTAAAACAATTTACTAAGGGACAATGATCGATAAAAGTACACTCTTTATCTAAATTACTTGACAGATGTTTAACCTAATAGCTGTGAAGAAATCTATTATATTTACATGATAACTAGCTCATTTGGTGTATATTATGGTGTGATATAAAGTTAGCTAACGGTATATCAATAACACTTCGACTATTATCATTAACATATTGAGTAGGAGTTTGAGATTTTCTTACATAAGTTGATCAATATAATAAGTAGATAAAAACTTAAGAAATTTCTAATGTTACTAAGTTTATTTAAATTTTATATTTATCGATATCGATAGTCGAATTGATTGATTATGGATAAATTAAGAGCTATGATTCTGATCTTTTATTTGTATACAAATAAATTAAAATTTCGATAGATTTAAAAGGATATTAAAAAAATTAAAAAAAAAGTATCGATAATAATCGTTTTAATTTTAATCAAAAGCTATGTGATTTTCAACAGAAGTATGACTAATCTGGCGATAAGTCTCTTCAAAAGATTTAAATTGATCGATAAGCTATGGAAGTCGTAAATAACTAATGTGTTGTATTGAAATTTAGTAATTATATAATTGAATGTGTATTTATGGTACTAATTCGTCTTTACTATAAAGTTTTGAGCAATTTTGAAATATATAGAAAATAATCGAATTAATTTTTCACTAAAATATTAAAGCTATATATAGATCATATTAGAACTTTCTACACATATCTCCATCAATTTGATATTCATCGATATATTATGAAAGCCGCATAAATCGATTGCTCATAGAATATTTATTAATGATTTTGCTGCTAGCCTCAAACCTCAACAACTCTGCGTCGAGCGTAATCGTCTTATGCTACCTTCAGTCATACTCAGTGTGTATTAAGCCTGGCCACAAACAACTCTTATGCTGTCATAAGCCTAATCTGCTCACATGCGAAGAAGATGGAGAAGGCGAAGTGACGGAGCTGCAACTATAAGTATATCCGATCATTGAGAGGCAACAGCACGCCTGGCCATAAATATGCATAATACAATTTCAACTTTTCATAAAAGTTTGCAAGCAAATGCGCAAATTATTCAAATACCCAATAGAATTAATCCAGCTCGATGGGTGTGCGTGTGTGTGTGTGCCAATTATGGCCAATTACCATCGAGGCTGGCAGGAAAAAAAAGATGGGAGTCAACACCTGCTCTGGACCGTGCAAGGTGTTAGTCCTAATGTTGTTGTGTGCGCTCGCCATAATCATATTACTTGATGTTAATGTAAGACCCCGCACCTGGCTTAAAAGGGTGCGCCTCGAAATTGATGGGCGTTGTAAAAAATCATTGAGAGAATGGGGCAGAGAGAGAGAGAGGGAGGGGAAGGGAGAGAAGGTCTCCCCGAGGGCCTCATTTGCCAATTAATCCGCACATTTATATGCGTGCACTCACCTCGGCTAATCGATGTGACCTTATCTCGCAGCACATTCAGCGTATGAACACGGCCAAACTGCTCGAACAGGCTCCGCAATTTGGGCTCATCCCAAGTCTTGGGTATTTGGCCCACAAACATTTTAATGTTGTCCACATCCGGCTGATCCTTGGCCAACTCCGTGTCGCTAGCAGTTGTAGTATCCATGGCATCCGTTGTCTCGCACTTGATGGCGGGCAGAGCGTCCAGCTGCTGCCGCCTCTCCTCAGCGCCATTCGGGTCGCTGCAAAAGCCACAAAAATAAAGTCATTATAAATCAGGCACACACACATTCATATCTATAGAAGTTGCTGGCCAAAAAAAAGTTTGCTCGGTAATTCCATTGAACTTTTATGGCCAACATATTGAACAAGGCTAAAACAAAGCTTTGCTTCGTCTCACTCGTTTTCTCTCTGTTTGCTAACTTCATTTGCTAATGACAATAAAAAACAACAAGCTGGACAACAATGCTTGGTGGAGCGTGAATGGGAGCTCTATGTGCGTGTGTGTGTGTAGTAGAGAGAGAGAGAGTGAGAAGGAGAGAGAGGGGAAGGCGAGAGTGAGATTGCGAAGCTGCGCAGTGCATAAAATACAAATACTAATTGTTATTAGCAAACTAATCTAATCTAAAAAGTTGTAAACGTTTTTACTTTGTTTCTGTGGCTGACCACCACCCGCGCCTTATTGTGTGTGTTTGTGTATGGGTGTGTGTGTGAATGGTCCATTTGTGGCTTCACTTGGTTACTTCACTTGAGTTTTTGTATGTTTCACTCTCTCTATATTTTGGGGTTTTATTGGGTGTTGTTGATGGCCGCACAAAATTGACTTTTCCTTGATGTCAACAGCAACAACCACAATAACAATAATAACAACAACCACAGCAACACAATTAGCCACAACAAACACACAAGCTGCTTTGGCAAATAAGCCAAAGTTGTCAAGCATTCGAAGCGATAAATTTGAAATCTAATTGGTTTTCAGTTTTATTGAAGAGAATTCTAAGTGGATGAGTGTTTAGGGAGAATAATTCTAATTGGATAAGCCGAAAGAAAAGGGTTTTAATATTAAATATGTTGCGTATTAAATTTAATAAACAATTATTTTGGCTTAAATTTAAGTTGATGTAATGAAAGGCAAATCAAGGAAGCAGGTTAAGTCTTAAGCAAGATAAGTAAGGAAGAAAAGTTAGAAAATGGAAAGATATGCAAATATTACTCAAGAAATTGTCTTATATTTAAAATGAATTTTCTTAGATCAAGCTTTAAGTAAAGTAAAATCCATGACAGAATGATGTTCGCCTATCTCAAGCAGCTCTCCACAGCTGCTAAATGAATTAAGCTATTCGCCATTGCGGATATTATCCAATTCAGATGCTATCTAGCTTAATTTCGCTTTCAGGCAAGCAGCATTTATGAAGCTGGTGCCAGCGGAATTTACGAGCTGAATGAGACTCTCTAAGGATGTCAGCGCGCACGCCTACTTTCTTATATTTATTGAGCGCGACAAAGCCCGAAGGCGGCAAATGACAAAACGAACTTAATCTATTAGAGGCGGAGCGTGTCGCTGCCAAATAGTCTAGTGTCAAGGTGATAAATATTGCCCACAAGTCAAATGCAAAGTAGGCCAATGGGCGGCCCAAAGAGCGGCAGCAGCAAAGTGGAGCGCAGCCCAGCCAACTGGGTATCAAAGCTGGCCTGGCAGGCATAAATCAAAATCAGCGCGCAGCACGCAATTTTCTGTTGCCTACTTTTCGGGGCGCGCTTTAAATAAAAACGTTCAACGAGCAGCAATAGAGGTGGTGCGGGCAGCCGGTGCGCGACAGGTGTCGCTGTTGCCCCGCAGGCAATTATTTCGCTTTCAAAGTCGCACTGCCGCCTGGGGAATCCATCAGAGAGTCAGCGGTGCGCAATGGATGCTCTCGTGGGAGATGCGATGCGATGCGACGCGACGGCTGGCGAGAGGGCACGGCACGGCATGGCATGGCAAGGCAGCAACTACTCGAGCCGGCAACAGTTGCTGCTTGCGTCTTCGCCTCGCTGGGTTTCTTCGCATTACTAATTCAGTTTCATTTAAATGCGCCGCAGCTTAATGAGAAAATTGCCTGCGGTGGGCGTACACTGGGATTTGGCTTGAGCTTAGGCTGGGCAGGTGTTGGATTGCTGAGGCTCGATTTGAGGCTCGGCATTGCGCTAAAATGTTGTTTGCTGCAGGCTGCTGCCACATGCGTGCCATTCAAGTGGATAAGGCTGCTGCTGCTGCTGCTGTTGCTCCTGCTATCTATGCTGCGCCCCTTTTTGGCCACGCCCCGACCACGTCAATGCTGGCGCCGACAAAGCCGTGACGCGGCATTTAATTTATGATGGCAGTTTGTTATGTCGCGCCTGTCACAACAAAAACAAACAGTTCACAGAGCCAAGATAGAGGACGCTAGTGACACAGAGACTCTGCGAGGCAGCAGGATGGCAGCCACGAGGCAGAGGGAGTGGGCGATTGCAGCAAGGCGCATAAAAATGACCCAACATAAATTTAATATTCTTGCTTTATTATTTAATGGCAGCGAAATACGCTGTAAAAAATGCCAACAGAGAAGAGAGAGACGGAGAAAGAAGGAGAGATTGAGTGAGAGGGAGAATGAGAGGGGAATGAAGGCGAATAGATGTTGCCCCACGTGGGACTGCAGCTGTGTTAAGTCTGCATTTCCGCTTGTCACGTTGTCTTATCAACCACAACATCATCATTATCATTATCATTATAATTATCATTATCATTATCATCCTCCGGGAAGGTAATGTAATGTTATAATTGCCAGCGGCTGTCAATGATCATTAGCTGCGACCTGCCTCCATTTGCCAATTAATAATCTTAATGCAATGCCAATTATCGTTAGTCAGCAGCGTCCAAAGACTCTTCACTCGGCACGTTGTCACTTATTTTAATTGAATCGATTCGATTCGATTCGCTGCATTCTGTGGGGCACCCGTTCAAAAATGCCTGCCAACCAAATGGACAGTTCACTTCAGCTGCTGCTGCCTGCCTGCTCTTGCCTTCTTCGTCCTTTCTATTCATATTTTTTTTATAATTTCCGGGCAAAGGAACTTGTCGTAATGGAAAACGATGCAGCGGGCCGTGGCATAATAATTTGAAATTCGATAGCGTCGCAGGTTTTGGATGCTTCACAAAAAGGAAATTGAAATTTATATCTAGCTAATATGCAAATTGATAAGAAATTAGCTAAATTATTTAAGTTTCGATAATGCAGCGCGCGAAGTGCGGATGTTTCCTTTTGCGAAATGGACCGAAGTCAGTGTGAGTGAAGATGAGACTATTTTAACGTTAGAAAATAATTGAATAAGTCTACTGCTCTAGACATTGGAAGGGTGCTCATGGATATAGTCTAGAGATTGTATTTGAGCTGAGTCGAGACTTTATAGACCAAGGCAAGGTGGCTTATTATTAGTAGAAATTTATGAATTACTATGTGGATCTGACTTCGACAACTATGGCCTTCCATATATTTCTAAACAAAAATAATGAACAAGTGAAACCTCGCTCACTTTCCTCATTTATTTATGAAATATTTATCTGCTGTAGTGCAACTCTGTCTTAACAGAAATTAATTAATATACTTTCTCCAGGCTATGGATAATGAGCACAGAATACATTGCTTAAAGAGAGCAAAAGTTAAAGGTTGCAACTACCACAGGGCAGGGAATATTTTATATATTTTAATTCGATATTTTACGTCACGTCTCCTTCACTTTCTTCTCATCCTACGGCAGGGGGTAGTAGCTACCTAGCCAGGCTGTTTGGAAGAGCTTCTAGTCTCTTGACTCCAATTAGACCTCTCATATATCGATGACTTTAGTCTAAAGTGAACTAAATCTAATCTAAATCTAATATTTTTGATTTATTCTAACTCACTTGTATGCTCTCTAAAGCTCCTTCATAGTCTGTTGTCATCTCCACACATATAGTCAACCTATAAATTTCTATAGCATACTTTAAAGGACTCGCTGACTAAATAGATAAAGTTCGCGTTAAGCCAAGCGAGGAGACCAAAACAAACAAATCATTCGAATGCAATTTGCAGTCATTAGGCGAAAAAAGTAAAGTAACGCAGCCAAATGGAGGCGGTGCGGGGTAGGCGTGACTCACCAATTTGTGGCGCCGCTGGCGCTTTGGTCGGCTAATGAAGTTCTGGAATTAATGCTGGAATTTAGCAGCGCCGATGTTGCAGTTGCTGATGCTGCTGCTGCTGTTGGTGCTGCTGCGGTTGCTGCTGCTGCTGGCGTTGGTTCTGCTGCTGCTGTTGGTGCTGCTGCAGTTGCTGTTGCCGCTGCTGCCGCTGCGGCTGGCATGACGGCAACGACGGCAGCGGCAGCGCTTGCATTTACATTGGAATTTATTTGGTTGTGCAAAAGTGTTTCGAACAATGTTGTCGACATGCCGACGCCAACGCCGCCAGCAGTTTTGGTCATTGTCGTTGCTGCTGCCGCCGTTGTTGCTGCTGTTGGTATGTTGCTGCTGGGCCGCAAATATGGATGAAAACTTTTCGCAGCACCTGTAAAAGTTGTTGCCGTTGCAATGGCGCCCGTTGCAGGCGTTAGATTTTCTAAATACTTTACTGGTTGCTGCTGTAGCTGCTGCTGTTGCTGTTGCAAGTTGTTATTGTTATTGCTATTTAAATTGTTTGTGTTGCTGCCGCCGTTATAGAGACTGCTGCCATTGGCCATACCATTAGCGACAAGTGCAACAGGTGCTGTTGTTAGCATTGTTGTTGCTGTTATTGTTGTGTCTGTATTTGCTTTTGCTGTTGTTGCTGCCACAGCAGTTGCCACTGTGCTGCTTGTTGCTGTCGTTGATGTTGTTGCTGGAATGCCGCTTAGTTTGTCCGTGCGTTGTTTCAAAGATTGCAACATCATTTGTTTTATTTCACCTTTTTATTATTATTGTTCTCTCTCTCTCTCTCGCTTTCTCTCGATCTCAATCCGCAGTTGTTGCTGTCGCTAATTACTTTTAGTGCTGCTGTAACTGTTGCTGCTGCTGCATTTAGCAATGCTCCCCTTTTAATTTGCCGTGGGTTTTACTTTTATTAAAATTGTATATTATCTCGCATTTAATTGCTTCGCTGCGCGTTTTGTTTATCACAGTTTTATCCCTCACTAAAAACTTCTTCACTTCTCTCTTCCTCGCTCTGTTTTCATGCACTATTTATTTGTTTATCTTTGTTTTTGTTTTCATTTGAACACTTGGCACTTGCAACAGGCGTGGACTCTGCTTAAGGCTTACTGTAATTAAATTATAAGAAAAATAATTGTTTGTTAATTCAAGGAGTTTTACACATTTGAAATAGATTAAGCTCTCTCTTTATTTTGAGTTAATTTATGGAGAGTTTATGTATCTTAAAATCTTTAAATGAATATCAAATGTTGGTTTCATATTATGTGTGGATGTATAGCAAATAAATATCAATTAGTAATTTTAACCCCTTAGCTTTTGTGGTATTCAAATTACATAAAAAAATGAAATGGAATTATCGATAATTCTCGATTACGAGGAAATGTGATGAGTTATCGTTAGAAATGATAAGCTCATAGCGCGTATGACATACAGGTGTATGGGCTCATACGAATGTATAGACATGCGGATATATGTATATACGGACATGTCTAGATCGACTTAGTTCTTTAGTCTGATCAAGAATAAATTTACTTTGTGGGCTCTGCCCCGCCTTTTTTTATCTGTTACATACTATTTCACAAAACCATTATCAGCTGAATAAAAATCACAGTAACAAACAAAATTTGTAAAAATATCAAAAAAAAATTTGATGCTTGGCAATAATAAAATTAAAAATATTATATAAATTAATAATGATGGTAAGATAATTTTGAAATAATGAATACTAAATAAATTTGTCACAATAATGAAAACAAATTCTTAAAACGAATAATATGTAGACTAATACAATTAATTATAATTATTTATATTCACTTTAACAGAAGCTCCATCTAAAATTTAAAAACTTTCGCCGAACTTCAGACTCAAATTAATAAAATTAAATGCATTTAAACTGAAACTTTTATAATTTTTATAGAAAATTAATTGAAATAAATGGCCTGTACTTCAAAAATGAGACTCTTAATTGTTATTTAACAGAGAAATATTAAAATAAAATTAAAATTTATTATAATTATTTATATTCACTTTAACAGAAGCTCTATCTAAAATTTAAAAACTTTCGCCGAACTTCAGACTCAAATTAATAAAATTAAATGCATTTAAACTGAAACTTTTATAAGTTTACCTCAATTTTAATATTTTTATAGAAAATTAATTGAAATAAGTGGCCTGTACTTCAAAAATGAGACTCTTAATTGATATTTAACAGAGAAATATTAAAATGCTTGCATTAAGTGCGTGTCATAGATAATTTAATTAAAATTTGAGTTAAGTAGTTGATGCAAAAAAAAAAACAAGAAGAGCAACCACATAGTTAAATAAAACTATGTGCTTTTTTAATATATTTTTATTTGTATGCAACCACAGTCAAAATGGCAGCCAGATTGAGTCGTCCTTTCGCTGCAGGAACTAACGCAGCTGTAACAGCAGCTGCATAGCTAAGCGCATTTCAATGGACGTATATTGACAGACTGACCGCAGTGGCTGGCCACTTGACTGTCTGCATTGAATTGCTTGGCTTTGATAAAGCGCCAACACACACACACACACACACGCACACATGTACAGTATGGAGTGGCATGTAAACTGAACATGTTTGTAGCTGCCGCTAAATAGATAAGCATTTGAGTGCTTCAAAACACAAACACACACACATATGTAACCATATATATTTATATATATACATTTATATATATATATATTTTACCGTTGGCGTTCAGACCCTGCGCTCAGCCATTCGCATTATGTTGAAGGCCCCAGCTAATTAGTTAAATTGAAATCAAATTATTTGTTGTCGCACTTGACTGACCACAGGCATGGGCGCCTTAATTAACGCGCTTCACATACACACACACACACACACACTTACACACAAACTGAGAGAGACACACTCGTAACCACACACTCTGGCATATACAGTTCTGCCTTTGCAAGATTACCCTTATTATGTTATGTTTATGTGGCTCTTGAAAATTTCACAGCGTTTCACATGGCGTATGCGCAACGCCTCACATTACCCAAATCTGAAGCTTAAACTTTTTCGAGTCTTTAAGCTAGCTGCTTGGACGCGCTTTTGAAGCTTCCTCTTGGATTTTTCTATTATTTTTTAATAAATTGCAACGCTCGCATATTTTCGCGCTTTTCTATTTTCGTTTCTTTTTTTATTTTGTGCTTCTTTTTTTATGTTTTGTTTTTTTTTGGCGTCCGCTTCACTTGGCCAGACGCAGGCAACTGGCGACGTGTCGTGAAACGCTTGTTGCACCCCACCAACAAAAGATTCTCGATGTCGACGTCGATGCTGTTGCCGCTGTTGTTGTTGTTGTTGTTGTTGTTATTATTGTTGCTGGGCTGCCAGCTTCGGTTTGCCAGCGGCATTGCTGCTGCTACGTTGCCACGCGCTTATCCAGCGTCATCAAACGATGTCGACGACAACAGCGACGCCTTGTCTTGTATACATATATATATATATATGTATGTATATATAAATATATACTATATTTATTTTCGAAAGAGCATATTAGATTAAACGACTTTCTGACAGATCTTGCAGCATTTGGGCAGTTAATGCTGCACAGAAAAATTCTTGGATTTAATTAAAAATTATTTAAGACTTTTTTAGTTTTCTTATATTTTTTTAAAAATTCTTATCAGTTGTTTAGCTTATGTAAATTAAAACTAATCAGAAGAATTGTTGTATGCTTGAAAATTCTATAAGAAATTTTTAACTGTTGCAACTAAAGTTAGTCATGAAAGTTTCTTTGCTTTTGGAATCTTTTGCCAAGCAACTCAACTACATCCACCTTGGTTAGAGCATTTCAGCTTCGGCGTGTTATGCTCAAAATTCTCATTTGTTGTCGCTGCTGCATTATGAGCAGTTAACGTAGCCAGGGTGCTGTTGGTAGCTCCTGCAGCTTGAACAGGCAACAAGCAGACGCCCAGCGGTGGCAGCTGTGTCATCCTCGTGGCTGCTGCCGCTGTTGCTGTTGCTGTCACCTTGTAATTTTATTTATCTATTGATTATTGAGTATCTCTTTTCTATTTATTTGCCTTTGTTTGCACACGCAGCACGCTGACAGGCTGACAGAGAGAGAGAGGAAGAGAGTGAGAGAGCGTCAACCCCCTTGCATTCAGCTCCCCGCGCTTGTACTAAATATTGTGCCTGGCATTTTTATTAAAGCTATTAGGGGTAGGGTTCGCTCTACTATAGCTGCCATGTGTGTGTCGGTGTGTGTAAATATTTGGTGCCTCTGGCTGTTTTTTAATTAACTTTAGTGACAATATTTTGCACAGTTTGTAAGCCTCCCTGCCTTGGCCTAATCTGCCCCTGCAGCAGCAACAGCAGCAGAGATAATCAAACTGTGTGCCCAAAGTATGCAAATGTAGGCAAGTGATTCTTAGGCCTGACCCAAATTCTCTCTTACTCTGTCTCTCTCTCTCTCTCTTTCCCACTATTTCTGTCTCTCTAGCCGTCGCTGTGCCAGTCTCTGGGTCTGTTTTGTGACAGTGACACTGTCGTTGACATCTCACAACTTGCACTCTATATAAGAATCACATGTCAGCAGGCGATGCAAGGCAATATCCAGGGGGTGTATGGGCTAGTGCACTGCACTGCAAGATACTTCACTGCGCTACGTATGTGTGTGTGTGTGCTTTAATATGTGTGTCTGTGGCCTGTGTCAGCTTCATTCACTTGTTGAGCGAGTTTTTCTTATCTTATCTACTCTACTTTATATGTTTGTATAGTGGGTTTTTATTGAGTTTCTTTTCGCTCAGTTTTTTTTTCGGCATAACACTGCGCGGTATATATATATACGATCCATATATCCAAAGGCAAACATAGCTCTACCTGCAACTGTAAGTTTGGCTAGCTAATCAGCTGTTATCTCTCAGTTAAAAAACATTGAAAACATTTTATCAAAACTTTCAGCTGCCTCGAAGGCAAGCTAAGCATCAGCGTATAACGCTACGTATAACAGTGTGTATAATAGATTGGGTGAGTATAATAGCAAACGCACTAAACGTTAATCGGAAAATTTTCAGCGTAGCTAACTCTTTCAATAAGAATTAGTATAACACAGTTTAGCACAATTATAACATATTTCGAACAAGTATAACAGTGTCTAGTAATTAGTTGGAATACAGTTTGCTCGACTCTAAGGCGCACTACTTACTTATGCTTATAGATCGATGTAGCTTACGCAAGTATCTTATAGATACAAATGTATCTCAGGCAGTTTGCTTGCGTTTTCAACGAGCACTTGTCAATGAACTTTGGTTTTCGGTTAACATATGTTACGGCCTGCCATCGTATCAATATCTAACTGCACAAGCAAGCACTATAGGTACACAGATATACAGTTACTCAGAAACGGGCATTTCATCAGAGATTAGATAATGCACTCGCGAGTTATGTGTTCGAGCCGCACGACTAGGCCAGCGAAAGGCAACTAACAAACCTCCCAAAAATCAACTACAAGGTACCCCTTGATTTCATAATTATTTTCACACACTCATATACGTGCCCGTGTATGTGTGTTATCTGTAACTGATAAGAATGCTTATCGCATATAATTGTTCGCTGATTGTTGTCAGCACAGGCAGGTAAACTACGACAGCGACTCGTACTCTAATCTCTTTCTCTGTCACTCGCTCTCTCCCTCTCTATCTTGGGTAAATTTTAAGTCTGTCCGGTTGCCTAAATAGGTCTCTCATATAGTCTTTATCTTGCGCTCTTTCTCTTTGTTTCTACGCTACCGTTGACTCGTCGCGTTTGACTGTCATTTATTTATTTTCTCAAGTCTTTATCAATTTTTGCCACAAGCCAAATGCACTTTCTGCTGAGCTAATATCGAAATCCCGCAGGTGCAGGTTTAATGTGTTTTATGGCTTATCACTTGCTGACTCAGCGACATGACGACGACAACACAACATAAATGCTTCACTTACACACTTTATATATATATATTTTTTTAGTTTGCGGCTTAAGTCTATATAGCAATCTGTCATAAGTATTCGCACACTGGTGCGTCCAAACAGTTTTTATGGCCATTCACATTTTCTTATCAACGCGTGACGGAACGACAAACAGAAACGCCGAAACATGGCCAAGAACTGAAATCGAAGTCAAATTCCCACTGCAATTGCTCGGCTCGTAACTTGCGCGTCGATATATCCGTACTATAATGCTCATAAATATAAACTAAACTCATGCACGGCCCGCAATATGTGTGGGAGTTGCTCTATATATACACCACACTCACTCACACACACACACACACACACACAGAGAGAGACACGCTGAAGGCTACTGTGTTGTGGGCAGCCTGAAAAAAAATAAAAAGAGACCAATGGCCAGGCCACGTCGCGCCGTATCCAAAGTATCGATGAGTTTGAAGTGCTCAAAGGAGTGTGGGCGGAGGGCGTGTGACCGCACAGCAGTTCACTCGGTGGCCATAACAGACAAGGGTTAGCGTTAGCTCTATATACCTCAATACCCAATCGGGCATATAAGGCGGAACATAGGTTCCAAACACACACTGCCAGAGCTAGAGACACACACACATTAAGTCTTTGTCTTTGCTTGTGGCAAAGCGTTCGGCTCGGACTGTGCCATCAAATTATAATGCCTCCGACTATTTAGTAGTAAATGTGTGTTACTTTACATATATAATGGCTTTGCCTGCCTGTCCGGACATAATTATATAGCAGGCGATTATAACAAATGAGGAAACTATGTGAAAAACGTATATTTAATTATGCATTGCATACAGTCCTCTAATTAGCCTATATATTTGACACTCTATCCAATTTGTGTACATTATATAACTGTTATATTGCAGCGTTTCTAGGACAGTCTATTAAACTTTAGCTTACTAATTGCAAGTGTAGTATAACAGTTTGGAATACCAGTCTTCAGTATTAGTACTAAGAGTTAGTATTAGAATGTATCATAATCAAAAAAATCTATAACGACTGTTAACATTTATTAAATATTTTAGTTTTAATAATTGCATGTGTAGTATGACAGTTTTGAATATTAATTTTTAGTGTCAACACTAAAAGTAATTTTTACACTTTATTTTATTCAAAAAGTACATACGACCTAGTTGGAAATCAGTTTACACCATTTCCATATTTAATATATATTTGTCACATGTGTATAACAGTTTTACTAGCTTGCATGTTGGAGTCAGTGAGAATTTTAAATTATACATAAAGACATATAACAGTTTATGTAATCATTTGCTTAAGCTATTATATTCTTATACTTTTTAATTGTTGTATTTTCAATGTACATATAAATATATCAGTATGCATTTCAATTGTATATTTATTTGTATGTATAACAGTTTTATTATTATTATTATTATTATTAGTTTTCATAAACTCATAAGGCTTTAAAGTATTATATTTTCAGTATATATAAAGATATCAATGTACATTTTAAATTCATATATTTATATATATATATATATATAACAGTTTACATATACTGCTTAGGTAAGCTACTCACTTAAGTATATGTAGTACCTAGATCAAAAGCGAAATGCACTAAGAGGTTAACTTTTATATACGTATTTATATGATGTTTATATATTTATTATGCTTATCTATATCAATTTATTTAATGTGTTATGTGTATATCAGGTTATGTGTATGTCAGGTGCATATTTTTATATGTCCAGTCTAAGACCTCTGTTATAATATATATATAAATATATATATATATATATATATATATATATATTTATCTGTAACTGTCCAATTCAATGCACTTGTCGCTAGTTTTAACCCTTTCGAATGCTTCCATGTTTGAGCCCCATTTCGATTTTTCTTGTCCTTTTCATTTGCTGTCCGGCAATCAATATTGAATTGGATTTGAGCAATTGTTACAAGCCCAGCTGGGTCACTCAAGGTAAGTCAGCGTGTATGTCTATGTGTGCTTTGGTGGTAAATGTGTTAGTTAGGCAGAAGAAATTAATAATTTATACGCACGAGCTGCAAGCAAAAGGTGAATTGTGGCCAAAAGAGCAATAAATCGACAAAAGACATTTTTTTATTAGAGCGCTTGAATGAGCTAGCCTCAGCAGCTGTGTGCGTGTGTGTGCTGAGTTTCATCTAATTGGTAAACTATGCCCATTGTTTGGCCTCAGCCCAATTCCAAATCTGATGAATCAAACATTTTACTTTAAAGTGTCTCTCAGATATGTATCTAGAGGCAACTTTTGCTGCTGCTGAAATAATATTATGAGAAATCAAACTAGAAAATCGAAGATGTGGCAACCACAAAAATGTGGTTGCAGTGTAACAAAAGCCAAAAACACAGTTTAGTGGTTGAATAGCAGCGCAGCAACCACATGAACAAATGAGACAGCGCACTGACAGCCGACTGCAGGCAGCAGCAGCAGCAGTAGCAACAACAACTAATAAAGCTGCCTCGGCATTACAGGTAAACAAAATGAGCAGCTATAAAAGGCAGAGCAAAGCAGAGAATGAGAGTGACAGAGACAGACAGCGATTGTGTGTGAGTGAGAGAGGAGAGCAAAACCAAATGGCAGACAAAAGGAAGCACAAATAATATAAATTAAATGTGTGTGTTTGGGCGTGAGTAGTGAGTGGGCCAATATGTGTATGTATATGTATGTGTATGCGTGTGTGTGTTCTTTATGGGTAGAACCCAAAGAAAGCCAAGCTGAGTAATTATTTCCGGCAGAGCGAACAGCAAGTCCACAGTTCGTAGTCCACCTTGCTGAGATTGAGTCCTGCGGTTTGACTGCAACACATGGCCGGACACTTTGGCCCACAATATAGCGAGCCACTGGGCCACCACCAACCAACAAAAACCCCGTCCTCGAAACGGAGGTGAATGTATTTGAAAATCTATCCGGGCAATAATTTCGGTTGACATGCTTGCGGTAATTATTGACCGTAATGACAAAACCCCAAAAACCAGAGAATCAGACCAAACAAATTGCTTTAGTTTTGCACTCTTGACTCGGCTCTCACTGTGTGCGTACGTGAGCTTGTGTGTGCGTGGTTGTGCCTTTCATTTTAATTGGATTTTGCCAACTGACACAAAAACAGCATTAGAAAAAAAGAAGAATTTAATTGATTTGTGCCTGAGTTATAGGCGGGCCTGGAAGACTTTGGGAAATTTTATGAGCGTCTCGCATAAATTTCAACAGCAATTTTTGTCAACAAAATTAAGGCCATCAAAATTGAATGCGAGATGAGAAATTTCAATCAAGCAGCGCATAAACTAAACATGAACTCTATAAATATATGAATATGTATATATATAGATATATGCACATATATATTGTTTACGTAGAAATGGATGGATGAGGGCTTCAAGCCATGTCGTCTTTAAGGTAGCAAAAGCTCCTTATAGTTAACCCTATTTTTTTTAATCAATTCATTTCGTGCCGCGCAACGCCGGGTAAGTATAAATAGCTCTACCTGTACAGTATATATGTTTAGTTCTTTTGATATTTGATTTTCGTTTTTGTGATTTGTCAGCTTTCACAATATACGATGCCACGGACAGTGCCTCCCAAACATTATCACCAAATCATTTAGCTAATATATAGATGCATATGTTATATAGACGGCCGACTAGCACACGCATAACATGTCCAAAAACCAATTAATAACATGTCTATAAGTTATTTTTGGACACACCAAATGCCGGCTGTGCTAATTCTGTTTCAATGTCGACTATTTCGACGCAGATGTTGCAGAAAGTTCATAAATTATGGCAATTATTTTATTCAGCTGAAAACATTTCCTTTTTTTTGGAATGTGATCTATCAAGTTACTGGATCGCAGGCATAGCATTTGTAGGGATTAGCTGGCTTAAGGAGTTGAACATTAATGTTTGTCTAATCAATATATTATACCTGATACAGATAATGTTTTATTTTGAAAAATTATTTAAGCTTTAGACGGGCCACGCCCCTTTTTTTAATCGATTCTCGCTTATCAATGGGATTTACTTGCTGAGATTGTAGCTAATATAGATTTGTTTTAGTAAATATATTTTTAAACTTACTCACATAATGCTATATACTTTTCTTTACTCTTAGATAGTCATACATAATAAGTGTAAACCAAGACCTAAGCTGATTGACTTAAAGAGTATTTAGTCTTCGTTATACTCCTTGATTGTATATAAATATTCACCTTTTGTTTCATAATGCATGTTTCATCATGCATATATATAAAACATAATATTTGTTTTTCAATCAAATTAAAATACACTTAAGAATACTCTACTATTCACAGCAGTCAAACGCATTTAGTTTGACTGCAGCTTTATCTAAAGACATGATTATCTTCGTCTTTATCTCGGACTCACTTCAAATTCATTTTTAGTGAGTAGCTTGATGGCAATTGGGAATTGGAACTATTATGCGAAAGCTTCCGCAGCACTC